TCATGAACCCAAAAGTCTTTATAAAATTATTATCCAAGTAGCAAAGAATTTTAAAACTTTTTTTGCTTTCAAGATATTTTTTTGTTAATAAGAGCTGATTGTTAGGATTAAACATATATGTATACTATTTAAAAAATAATACCTAATAATATACTTGCTCTTTAGTATATATTTGCGCGTCGATAAGATTATGATGTTGAAGATGTCTATATAATTCAGAATTATGTAGATTATATCTGGTATTGCTTTGAATCCACAGTTTTGCTGCTACTGAAAATTTAATCTTTCTATATTCTGGATGCTTATGTGCTAGTTAATGACTTTCTTGAACAATAATACACTGTTGCTGGGGATCGATAGTTAGTTTTGTTTTTTCAAGCAGCTATATCTTTCAATAAGTGCACAAGCTTTACTTACTCATTTTATAGGTTGATTATTAGATCTTTGCCAATCTCTATTATTACATTGTGCACATTCAAGGTATGTAGTTACACAGCCTGTAAACTTATTCATTCTTTTATTAGGATAAATTTTAGATATGTTCCAGTAGTAACAAGATCCATATTCCAACAGAAGAACAACGACCCTTATTAGTTGATGAAAAGATCCTTTAATAGTTTTGAAATCATGTATATCTAACCAAGATTCTGGGAAAATACTTTCAATCAGATCTGAATCTAGCTCAATTTCAAAAAATACTTTTACTGACTTATTTGATTTTTCAGCATCTTGAAATCGATTAGATATTAACTCTTCCACCTCATCTAAATTGTACAAAAGCCCATCGTTATTAATGAATTCATCGACATTTTCTATAGTTTAGTCGATCTGCACGTTATCTTTATACAAAAAATATAGAAGCAAATCTTCAAAAGAATCACTATCATGATCAAGATCTATATTATACAGATCACTTTGATTAGAATTTGTACTTAGACAATAAGATTCAAGAAATTATAGATATCATCAAGTGATATGCAATGATCTATCCATTAATTCT